CAAAAACAATTGGTTTAAAGTGCATGAGCCTCACCTAATTTCAAAACATTCCGCCGCCCCTGAGCCCACCCACATCCACACCCACCTATACTCACTATTACCTATTGCATTTGCATTCACTTACGAGTAGGAATCCATTGAAGTTGTTTGACAAATAAGTAAAAGAGCAGCAAAGAGTATAACGGTCATCAGTTTTGAATTTGTGTGTTTGTTTAGTGTTACGTTAGGTGGTTGACAGACAATTCTCTACTTTTCCTTTGCTGTTTCATCTTCTCCGGTTTTTTGCATTTTGGCTTAGTCTTGTCGTCTGTAGCAGACATAGAAATTATAGTGGGGAGATGGAAATAAATCACACAAGAAGTGAAAGCAAAGGGAGTGTAGATTGGGTATTGGCGCGGATGGTGTGTGTGAATCATTTACGCACGCAGCGACATCTACATCCACACCCACACATCTCAAGATGTGTTTTTGAGACTATAGTGTGACGTGATATTGTGCAATACTGTCTACTCTTTTCTTCGTTCTTCTATCGCATCGAACTGAAATCTACGACAAAGCTTAAAATTTCTCGTTTCTTTGTTTCATCTATTGCTCAATGATGCTGTTTGTGTTGAAATTTCCAAGTGTTCTTTATTACAGTTTTAATGATATGGTCAAAGAGATTTCTTTTCTCGTTTTAAGATTAACAACCTTTATTACGAAAACACGTTTATGTGTACAGGGAAAAAGAAAGGAAAAAGGAAGGTGGTTATTCCTTGATCTATTCTCATCTTACAGTAGGATATACTTGGAAAAAAACAGTTGGAGAAAGATAGATCAAATAACAAGAGAAGAAGAGAAGTAAAGTACAAAGAAAGGAAAAGAACATGATCGATAGAATAGAAGGAAAATACCATATGTCGGAATATGTACGACATTTAGCGAACTAATATCTTATTTGTTCGCTTACATTCTTGCTTCTGCATTTTTTTCCCAGTTTCTTTGGGTATTTCCCACTTTATGAACCTATATATGGACAACGTTTGAAAATAAAGATTCACTGTTCTATGAAGCAATCGTTCTGTAAGAGTTTTCATTCAAAAAAGCAAAAACAAGTGGCTGCACAACGGTTTGTAAAAAAAAACTTACTTTTCATTTCTCTTTAATGGTAACATGACACCAGAGGATGTATTTCATTCCCTATTTTCTTCAATATTGAATCAGAAAATTTTTCTGTTTTTATATTCTAGATATAAAAGGTATAACTAATCTTATAATTTGTGATAATCTTTGGGAAATGGCAACAAATGTAAGTAATGCAACTTAGAGATAACTATGAAGAAAGTATTTTCACATTCACTTGATATTCTGATCTCCATTCATTTAGAACATATCAGAAACGGATCTTGATTCACACAAACGAAAAATATTTATTCAAAAATTAGGTACTGATACAACAACACGATCATTAAAAGATTATTTCTCGAAGTATCCAATCGAGTGGTGTAATGTTCCCACTGATGAATTAGGTAAGATTGCAACATCATTTCTAATTGATAAGAAAAAAAGGCTTAGACACAGTATTTTATCAGTGAAATGATGAGATGTCGATAAAAAAAATATTGTTTACTTTTTAAGGTAAAAATAAAAGACATGGCATCGTCATGTTTCACAGCAAAGAAAGTGTTGATGCTGTAATGTCACAACGTTACCATCAAATAGATGGCAAAGAAGTTTTTATTCATCGATCGGTCCCAAATCAAGGACCACTGAAAGATAATATAGAAATTCAACGTTTGATTGTTTCTAGTCCAAACAACCAACCATTGGTCGAATCTGATATCCACAGTTACTTTTCGCAATATGGTAAAATATCTGACATTAGTCATATAAAAAATGGAGATAATACATGGGTCATTCATTTTGATTAGTAAGTGCTACAATACAATGAATTTGTTGAATTAATGTTTGCTTTGGTTTAGTTACGATTCAGTCGATCAAGTTCTTTTGAATTCTCCACATCGTATTGGAGGAATCGATGTAAATGTTACGAAACATCATCAAAATTTCTTGCATAGAAGCTCAGCTCCACCAGAACCGGCACCGCACACTGATAAGAATAACACTGAAGTAGGATCGAAAAAATCCAATTTGAAACACGTGACTATGAGTAGGTTTATGCCTTTTATCTCGAATACAAGTCTACTTTGTTTTCTATTCAGATGAACAAGTATCATGTCTTAGTCTACCCACAAAAAAATATCGCATTCATATTACAAATTTACCGGCGAATACAGATGCCGAGACATTATCACAAGAATTCGATTGGGACATTTATGATATTGTTATGAATCCGTCCAACAATGATCGAGCATTGTCAACAGAGTGTTGGCTGAAAAATGCTATTGATGAAAGAGAAGTGAACAATTTTGGTCAAAAGTGGAATAAACAAAGCATCAAAGGATCAATCATTCAATGTGAGAAAGAAGAAGATGAAATAGAATTTTGTAATAAATTTCAGTTTGGTCGGTGTGAAAAAAGTAGTGACAAATGTCATTGGGAACATATACCTTGTACGGCAAATGGTGCTTGTTCGTTGACTTGTCCTTATGGTCATGCATTTGGAATGAAGACAGAACATGATTCTCCAAATAGTAAGTCAAATTCTCAATTAATAAAACACAGAAATAGGTTATTGAAAATGGATAAAGATGGAATATTGTATATTTGTTGTTTACAGGACACTTTCCACTGACTATATTTCGATTTAATAGCGATTACAGGAAAAACTCTATTCGTCCTTTCATTATTTATTTTAGGAACCAGTACGGACTATCGCATCAAAATAACTGGTTTTCAAACAGAAGTCACATCCCAAAATCTTACTCAGCGATTTGGTTCAAACAAGTATTATGTCGATCGAAAACATGATCGTATTGACTACGTGGTCAAAATCAAAACTATGAAATATGCGAAACAGTTGATGACCAAATGGCATAATAAAAACATTGATGGTCAACTAATCAAATGTCAATTAGAACTCAATCCAATCCTATCCACTTATCGTCATCGCTCTCAATCACGAGTAGCATCGACTGATGGAGAACAGAAACATTACCGTTGCCGTAGTCGCCCACGAGATGCTTCCAGTATCCAAAGTAGTCAAGAAACGTCCGATCTCGGTGATACTGACAAAACTTTGTCAATAACATGTGACAACCGAGAAATGGATAGAGACCGTCGCATTATTCGCAAAGCTTTTACTGATATTACTCGAACTCCATCGAAGACTAATCTGCATCATGCAAGTTCATCAGAAAGTATCTCAACATTGGTCGAAGCGAAATGTAAGTTCTCTTGCACGATTGATTAGACGAGCTTCTAGACTAGAGTTCTATGTTATAGATCAGTTACCAAGCGATGTATCCGCAGATGAATGGGAAATAACAAAAAGCGCATCGAATAGCGATGGAAAAGTATTATTAATACGTGGCAAAGCAGATCGAAAACGTCTAGCCGTAATCAAGATTTACCCAAATCAATCCTTGAAGGACTTGTATCAAGAAATAACTGTAATGAAACAACTAAAGGGTAAGGTGAACATCGAGGAAAATACTTGTGATCCACAACTATATTAATCATCT